AATGGCAATAGTTGGTTCTCTTCTAGGGTCCATGACCTCGCCAGCCATTAGTAATTGGTCTGTTTTACAGTGACAGGCATAAATTCCTTCCCACTTAATCAGGAGCAGAAGGAGAGAGAGCACAAGCAAGGAACTCAGGACCACGAGGGGTGCACCCACACACTGAGACAATGGGGATGTTCTATCGGGAACTCACCAAGGCCAGTTGGACTGGGTCTGAAAAAGCATGGGATAAAACTGGTCTCGCTGAACATAGTGGACAATGAGGACTACTGAGACCTCAAGAACAATGGCAATGGGTTTTTGATCCTACTGTGCCTATTGGTTTCATGGGAGACTAGGCAGTTTCGTGGATGCTCACCTTACTAGACCTGGAAGGAAGTGGGAGGTCTTGGACTCCCCACAGGGCAGGGAACCCTGACTGCTCTTTGGGCTGATGAGAGAGGGGGAGTCAATTGGGGGAGGGGGAGGGAAATGGGAGGCGATGGTGGGGGAGGAGACAGAAATCTTTAATAAATAAATAATAAAAAAAAGCTTTAAATCCAACTGTTGGCTTTTGGCTATTTTGTAGTTCCTTGAAAGCAGTAACATTTCAATTTGAGAGATAGATGGGTGATACTGTCTCTAACCTCATTGTCTTGTGTGGTAACTGCTGACTTATTTCCCTAACACGAGGAGACCAATTAAAGTAACTGACATTCTGCAAATTTAAATCAATGATGTTGCCCACTTATCCTAATCATCCAAAGTAAAGAAATTTAGTGCTTTTCTCAGAGCCAGAGTGGCAAATGTCAAAAAGCTTTTCCATCACGGTCTTGTAAATCAATTCTCAATGACAAGGAAAAAGGAGAGAATACTTTATTATGTTCAGGTTTACGGCTTAAGTGGTAAATGGACAAAATTTACTAAAACAATTATCAAGTGACATCTTCTCAAGTGGGAACGCTAACACACTTAGTAGCTTTCTGCTGGTGTGAGAACTGGGACGAGAAGACATCAATGGGATTAAACTGTCAGAACAACAGTTTATGCCCCATTTTCATCCATTGTTTTGAACATGAACTGCAAGTTAGAACTCTCTTTCCAGGGCTCTGAGGATGCTCATGTCTGTTCTCACCTATGTTGCAGGCATGCCAAGAAAACTTCTAAAACCAAATAGAGGGTCCATTGGATTTTTTGAGGACAGTGAAAGCATCTAGTACACATTCTTATTTAAAAGTCAACGAAATTTTTTCAACTGCACAGGAACTAAATAAGAAATTTAATGGTCCTTGGTTGGTGGGACAAAGGGTTGGTCCCAGTGAAAGAAAACACAGGGAAAATTATTTGAAGTGTACCCTTTACGTATCATGAGATCTTGCCTTAATTTTGGCCAGAACAAAATTGATCTGTTGGTTTATTATCATTTTTATTTGCTTCCTTTTATTCAGATGTGTCACACCCTCCTGATTTTGAGAAAGTCAACTATTATCTCTTAGAACAAAGCCTGAACCCCTGATGCTATGTGGCTCAGGTGAGCTAAAGACACCCATGGAGGCAGCCTAGGTCCTCACGATTCAGCTTGCCTGAGGCATTTACATGCCTGGGGTCAGGTGCCAATATAATGAGCAAGTATTTTATAGATGGTGGTGAAAAGAGAGGCAGAATGGTTTGTGTACTGTGGTAAGAGGCAGTTCTGAAGAAGCAGGAGCTGTGAGGAATGGGGGTGGCATCCAGGCTTGGGCTGCTCCCTACAGCCATATATGTGTCTTTGACAGCCAGGGTCAATGTTGACATCCATGACTCACGCTGCAACAAAGCCACAGGGAGGGTCAGGGATGTGGAGCACCACGTGTGGCCATTTTGGTGTCCAAGGGCTGTGCCCCCACTGGAACCATGATGATCTGAGTGGCTTGTGCTGCCACCAGGGGACATGTTCCCCTGGGAACAAGGCCATTTCTGGGTCAGTGCCCCAACAGCAGTCAGAGTCTGGGCTTATGTCTACGACTCCTGTTACCACAGGGCATCATAGGAACCATGTATTGAAATCTGAGGGCCATAGCTGGCTCTGTCCCTCGCTGGACACCGCAGCATGGGAGAGTTGACCCCAGCACTCACTCAGGAAAGATGGCCGCAACGGTATGGGCCTTGGACCGCTGGCTCTGCCCCTTGCTTGTGCGGGTAGTCCCAATGTCCAGGGCCAGCTATCACTCAGACCTACATCTTGGGCCTTGGGTGTGGCCCTCCCTAACAGTGGTCTCATCTATGACCTGATGGAGTGCGCGAAGGGACTGATCCTGCATAATGATAACCACGAGATCTTCGTGACTTAACAAGAGCAGGATATCTGAGAAGAGCTTTTGGTGAGGGTCTAGTGGCAATGATGCATCAGAAACTGGAGTCTTCGAACCGGACCTTGAACATTTTGCAGGTGGAGCTGATTGGACAAAAGGGATATATACTGCGCGACACACCACAGCTCCTGATGCCACTAGGATGGATAAAGAGGTGTTGGAAGGATGGAGGAACGAAGGTGGGTTTTTTGATTGTTTGTTCGTTTTGTTATTTTTTAAATTAATTTTGAGGGCATACTGCAGGGGCAAGAGGTAGATATGGAGGGACTGGGAGGTCAGTAGGATTGGGTTGCATGGTATGAAATTACCAAAGCATCAATAAAGAATTGTTTTGTTTTAAAAAGAGAACTTTGGGGGCTGGAGAGATGGCTCAGTGTTAAGAGCGCCGTCTGCTCTTCCAAAGGTCCCAAGTTCAATTCCCAGCAACCACATGGTGGCTCCAAACCATCTATAATGAGATCTGGCGCCCTCCTCTGGCGTTTGGGTATACATGGAGGCAGAAAGTTGTATACATAATAAATAAATATATCTTAAAAAAAAGAGAACTTTGCCTGAAGTACTCTTTCCAAATTTAGATGTTTAATCACACCGATTTTTTTTTAAACCAAGAACTCAAGGGAGATTCAACCTAAAGGACAGCTGCTAAGTGAGATGTATAGATCGGGGGTTGAGTCTTGAAAGTTCAATGGACATAGTTTAGACAAAGATAGATTCAATAAGGTAGACAGAAAGAAACGAAATGCATTTCCAGGGGATAGACAAGGCCACACCAGAACTCATTATAGATGTAGCCAATGAGCAGCTGAGAATGAATATCTGACGTATAACTTAATATGCAGAAGTCACTTAGTAATAACTTCAGCATCACACATCCAACCAAAGAATCTGGCTTGCAATTGCTACTAGTTTTTACCTTAACTGTTTTAAATTCTTCCAAGTGTTTCTTTGGAAGCAGAAATAAATGTTAGAATAAAATTGAATTTATTGGAGGCATTTACTTGGATTAATTAGGTAATAAAATCATTTTAAAATTGCTAATTTACTAGGCAATGTCACCAGAATGCTGAATTTCTTTATTTTTATTATTATGATCAAAATAGATAAATGCAGGCCTAACCACAACCCGAAGAGAGAAGAGGCAGCAGTCACTCTTTGCATAATTACTGATGTTTGTCATGCTTTCTACAGAATGGGTATCTTCAGTTTTGCTAAAGACTGTTTTCTTTACTTCAGAGTGTCTGCTTTAGGACTGTTTATCATCCATGTTGTCTTACTTTATGCAGAAACATATATAGTACTTTTATTAGTCAATTTAATAAATTTAATTTTGGTTCACAGTGTTAATTAAAAAGTGTGCACTTATAGAAACAAACCATTTCTTTGTTCTCTCAGGAGTAGGAGAACCCAGAGTTCAAAGCCAGACTGAGCTTTATAGCGAAATTCTGTCTCAGAACAATTATGACAGAAAAACCTTCATTCCCAAGTATCAGGTTAAATGAATGATTAAAAGCAGGGTTGAAAATTTAGTATTATGAGCTTCACATGAATTTTGATAATAAATGATCAGGAATTTTCCTATTCCTTTTAAGAAGATAAATGCTCAAAAAGGCTCAGTTATGTTTGAGGGGCATTTTGGAAGGACAATGCAAAAAAGAAAAGGAGTTTGCCTGAAGGAGAAAGAAAGAAAAAGCTATCATCAGATCATCCCTAATGAGTGGGAATCTTATTTTTTCCTGAATTTGTTCTTTGCCAGATCTAAACGTACCGTTAACCTAGAAGAAAAAGGATTTATTTTTTTGTTATTTAGTAATCTTCATGAAACTGACATCTTAGATAGAAACAAAGACAAAAATCAAATGAAATCACTGGGATTCCTGATCCCAAAATTATGAGCCTGTTTTAATGAAATACTTAAAATCTACCTTATAAAGAGCCAATTAATATAATTACAGTAGATTGAAATAATACATATGCACTGAATCTGTTTCTGCAGACCGTAACTATTGCTATTTTTTTGTTTTTAAATGAGAAAGGTGGCTTATACAACATATATAAGAAATGCAACTTTTTTAAAAACGAGGGAGCCTATGGTCTGCCATCATCTTCCACCCGCCCCCCCAAACGCCAACAGCCCAATACCAATTAGCATAAAAATCTTTAGACTGATGCCTCTGAACATTACTGCGGTTTTAACAAGGACAGCAGCATATCCAGGTAGTTAATGTAACAGAAACCACAGGCAGCAACTTGCATCCATCTCCTGCCAGTTGACATGGTTATTTCTTTGCCTCCTCTCACTGGTTCATTCTACTCCTCTTTACTTGATTCCCCACCTCAGCACTTCTACCCCGCTTCCCACAAAGCTTGAGGCAGTCACCCGCCGGGCGGTGGAAGTTGCCAGGCAGGGAGTGAAGAGACAGCGGAAGAACAGGGCAGAGCGTGCAGTGCCCACAGCCTTAGCGGCCAGTTGAGCGCGGGAAGGTTAGGAGGGTCGGGATCGGGGCGGATCCCAGGGCCGCCCCCAGTCCTCCAGGGTGCTTGGGACCCGGGAGCTGCAACACGAGGCTCAGCGAGGCAGCCCAGGGCTGCCCCCCTTCCTCCCGCCCCCCCGCAGCAAGGGGAGGGCGGTCAGGGGGCGGAGCACAGCACTGCGCGGGTGGCGGGAAAGGGGCGGAGATGAAGGCTCGGCTCGGGCTGGTCGCTGGACCCAGTAGCAGAACCTGCAAGCCAGGTGGACGAACAGAGCTCTTGGCTCTAAGGTAGCTCCGTCTGCTTCTCCGAGTGAGCGAGGCTGCCTGGGGGGTCCCGCGGTCTCCCGGCCGTCGCCTTCCCACTGCTGGAGACAGCGCAACGGCGGGCGCACCCTGCATTCAGGTGGGTCCCCCGAGTAACAGTGGCGCCTTGCCCGTTTCTGGGGTCGCCGTGGCCTGGGAAGCAGAGTTTCTGTGGCCATCGTGGGCAAGGGCCGGCCAGGTCCCAATTGCCAGAGGAGGGTGCTCGGCCCCGTAGGTTGCGCGCTTGAACGCGCGCTTGAGCTAGGTGGGGAGAGGTACGGGAGAATTATCGCCTGTGGGATTTCGCTCCTTCAGGTCTTCTGGGAGCGGTCCTCACCTCGACTCCTTGGAGGAGCTGAGCTTCCATGTTGCATCTGGCGACCACGACGCCCTTTACCCACTCGCGATCTGGGTGGTAGTAGCCTGTCGCTCCAACACTCCCGATCCCCACCCAATAGCCATCAGGACGCCCCCTGTTCCCAGCCCGCGGGGACTGAAGGGACTGGGTGAGGGGAGACTGGTGGCAGAACTGAGGGGGGTTGGGGGGGGGAGGCTGGAGTTACTAGAGTATTGTGTACCAGCGCATCGCCACACCCGGGGTCTCCCTCCTGCTGTCCTAGCTGGGGTGGGGGCTGGGGTGATAAGTGTGCGGGACTTCCCTCCCCGAGGGTTGGCCGCGCACACAATCCTCAGGAGCTCGAGCTCGTTTGCATTGCACGAGAAGGCACATGGGAGCGGTATTGGTCCTTAGAGGGTACTCAAAGACCTTCTTTGGGATGGCCCAGCGTACGATCGGGCTTGGAAAGGGAGAAGATTTTTGGTATCTTTTTTTCTTTTTCTTTTTTTTCTTTTTCTTTTTAATGAACATCCTCGGAAGGAGGAGGCGAGGGTCTCAGGGAGACTTGGTTTTCCGGGATTTGCGCAGTTCCGTAAAACAAAACAAGCTTTCGAGCTTTAAAGTAAACGATGGGTAAGTGGGATGCGTCTGTGGTGTGGGCAAAGAAGCCCGGGCTTGGCCGGGTAGCAAGCCAGGCAGATTTGGTGGGGGTCTAATGCTGTCTCAGCAGGGGGTGGGCGCGGGAAGTGCTTCTTGTGTCTTTGGTTTAACATATTGGAGCCCCGGAGGAGGCGGCCACTTGTCCTGGGAAGACGGGCACTCCGAAGGGCTGCTCCTCTGCGGCGCAGCTGCCCGGGCAAGGCGCTTCCTCATTTTCAATTAACTACAGAATTTAAAGGTTTGTCTTTATCTTTCCCTGCGATGCAAACCCTTCTTTTTATCTTATGGCTGCTTGGATTCTCTGGTAATTGCTTATGCATATTTTATTCCTCTGTTTTTTCCGTGACTTTTTTTTTTTAAGGAAAAAAGGATCCATCTGTATTTTAATCAATAGAAGGTAGGGAAAGATCTTTTAGGATTTATTTATGTTCAAATCAGGCCCAGGGTACTATGATGAAAACACCCCACCGAAAATCTGTTTAGATTGAACTAAGCTCTGTTCAGATTCAGACTGGAATTTTTATTTTTAAGTAGATACCTTATGACCTTGGAATAAAGTAACGTTAGCGTGCGTCCCTCATCTCTTTTTATCAGGTTAAGTTATGAAATTCTTTATTCTCAGATTATACAGGGCCAGTTGACTCCTAATTTTAAATGGTAGGTCTCGAAATGGCTGTAAATTATGCTGGCACGTGCTTTCTCTTCCCCCTCCCCCACCTCTCCCCTTCCTTGCTCCCTCCTTCCCTCCCTCCCTCTTTTTCTCTCCTCTCTTTCTCGCGCTCTCTCTCTCTTACACACACACACACACACACACACACACACACACACACACACACACGTCTCCCCCCCACCCCACCTTTCCTCCCTAGCCTAGCCTGTAACCCTGTAGGTATCCCGGATGGTCTCAAATGCGAATTCATTTTCCTTCTCTATATACCCAAGCGTTGGTGAGCAGAACTCCCATATCTTTTAATGAACTATTCAGCAGGTGATTTGGTCGATGACCTGGGACTTAGTATGTTTCAGTTTCTTATCAACTACTTTATTGAACCATTGTGGAAGGAGATGCCTTAGGTAAGTTACATTGGGAGAGAAAACACTTTGTTGGTCTTTCGGAGCAAATATTTTGCCACTTTTCCTCCCGTTTTTCTCTGTTAGATGCCTAGGAAAGATGTAATGCTGATGAATAAAACATGCTTTATTTCTCTTTTATGTCTACAGGTGGCAGTATCGAAGCCAAAAGCTTCCAGAAGTGGTTTCTGAACAATAAGACTTGAATGTACATGAGTAAGCAAACACAGGAATCCGGAAAATCCACAGGTATGTACGACAATTAATCCACCTATCCAGCTTTATGATTATTGCATTCCAGTAGTACAAACCCAGTTGTTCTTATGTTAAATATTTTTACATTTCTTTCTATTGACTTTTATGAAGTGAAATACATTTTGATGTTCTCTCAGAAAAAGCAAAACTAATCTATTTTAGTTAGTACATTTAAATAAAAAAATGCAGTATACCAGATTACCCCAGTTTTTTTCACTGTATCCACATGGTGCATTTTAAGGAGTGGCCTGATCCTTGTTAACCTTTTTCCTGAAACTGAATCCGCCGGCTGCTCAAACGATTTTTTGTAAGTGCATTTCTGACTTGTCTTGTTGAGCCAATGTAAAAACTGTTGCCGTTAATTCCATATCACATTGATCAGGCTTCTTTGTGCTTCTGATCTACCTGCTTCTCTGTCTCCAATGGACGTGTGCAGCCACTACTAGTTTATCCTGGGGCTTTTGTGTATGATAGGCAAGCATTCTACCAGTTAAGACAGCCTGGTAAGTTTCTTTTACATTGGCCTTTCTGTATTTAATACCTTCTCATCACTTCACAGTTATTACCTTCCCACTAATTTGTTTATTTGACTAAGCTAAGGGCATGTTAGAGGCAATCAAGTTGTAAAATTGTGACAGCGAAAGGATTTGATTCTTATTACTACATTGTAAGATTTTGCATATTAAGGTCTTTAATATTCACATTATTACTAATGGCGGGAGCCAGGGGAGGTGGGAAAAGCCAATACCCTTTATTTTTCTTTTTTGAACAGCTCATGTTACCTGTGCTAATTGACTGTTTAGGGACAGTCAATAAAATGTCCCTTTATAAAAAGAATGAAGGTTTCTCTTCTTAGAGTGGGTAGATGGTATTTGGAGAGGATAGGTATTGGAGGGATGCCACACGTTTATCAAATACTGAAGTATGATAATATTGTAACCTGCCTGGCAGCAATGAAAATGTTCTAAAAAGACATATGTCTATCAGATTATCAGACTTTTGAAACAGTAGACACCGAAGAAATGGGAATTTCCCAGGGAATTTCATGCTTAGAGAAGGAAAAGCCATCAGTCAGTGTGGGTGAGGGTGGGGCAGCGGGACGCACAATGACTTATCTCTGGGAAAGAGATTTCATGGTTATAGCAACTCGTCAGAGCACCTTACAGCCATCTAATGATGCTTAAATATGCATATCCTTTGGCGTGGATTTAAACTTTGATCTCACTTCAGGACCCTGACTGACTTCAAGGATCTCTTTGTCTCTTTTCCTAATGTGTCCAGTTTGAATAAATTCCCCTTTTCTGCTTTCCATGTTTATCTTGGCTTTTTTTAATTGACTTCTTGAGGGTGAATGGCAGGACTGACTTGGCATAGGTGTGACCTCCCCCATGTTTGATAACACCTTATGATGTGTGTATGTATATACATATATATATCATATAAATATATGCACACAATTTTGGGTGGGAGGCGGGAGATGCTGCTGGGAATGCAAGTCAGGGCCTTGGGGGGCATGAGCTATATTTTAAATATATTATAGTTATATATAAATATATATTTCAAATATATATTAAAATAAAATGATATTTTGAAAATTTGAATGGACACAGCTATCATGGTGAGCCATGATTTTAATCCTTGCCCTTGGGAAGGAGTAGCAGGTGGAATCTGCTACATAGTGAACTCTGTCTTAAACAAAACAGAAGAAAAACACCCTGCAGGGCAGGTTGTAGTTACTCACACCTTTAGTTCCAGCACCTGGGAGGCAGGGCCAGGTAGATCTTTGAGTTCAAGGCCAGCCTGGTCTACAGAGTGAGTTCCGGAACAGCCAGGTCTACACAGAGTAACCCTGTCTCGAAAAATTAAAACCCAAAAAATGAATAATGTCAAGTTGGTCATTTGACCGATAGAAAGCAAGCAGGAGGTGTAGATTCCAAGTACAGACTAAATAAAAGCAGGTTAATATAAAACCCAGTGTATACAGGATGGTTTTAGGAAAAGGAACACTGAAAGACAGAAGAGCCGTAAATTTGCTCTGAGGGAGGCTTCAGATTCATCAGGTAACTTGGGAGACTGGTAAGTTTGGGTACAATAGGATCTAAACGTCTAAATCAGAAAAAGAAAAAGCAAGGTTGCAATTTGTTAACTTTTGAATCAGATTCCCAACTGAAAGACCTGACGTGCTTTACGAATAATTTACCTTTGAGATATAACAAACATACATCAAAAAGTATAAAGTGTATTAATAGAAGGTATGATTGACGCTCACTTAACATTTTCGGTGACTATGCAGCCCCTGACAGATCAAGCCTAATATATTTCCAGCACTAGAGTTCTTGCCCAATCTATTCAGTAGTTATCTCAACTACATCATGAAGGTAAACTAAATTGCCATTAAAACAACAAAATCTAATCAACTGCTTTAATCTGATTTTACAATCCATATAAATAATATCATACAATAGGAACTCTGGTGTATATGTTCGTTCACAGGTTGTGTAATAAGTAGTTTCTTTGAATAGATTGAATGATAATTTACTTGTTTTCTGTTACATCGTTGCATAGTGTCCAGGATTTGGCTAAAATGAATAAAGCATATTTGAACATTATTGCTTGTGTTCTTTGGTTCACATTTTCATTCCCCAGTTCTGCAAACATAAAGTAAAGAGAGTATGGTACTTATACTTAGATTGGAGCATTGAGATTCAGTAGATTAGTTTTCCAAAATGGTTGTACCAATATAAATTCTACCAGTGGGGCATAAGAGTTCTGATTCCTTTGTACATTTTAAGCAATGCCCTTTCTCTCTCTCTCTCTCTCTCTCTCTCTCTCTCTCTCTCTCTCTCTCTCCCCCTCCCCCAGGCATGCTCTCATTGTATTCGTTCTTGCTGAGGAACCTGGGGTATAATGCCTGAGCTGAAGTGATCCTCAGCTTCTGGAGCAGGAGACTATAGTCACACATCATTTTTTTATATTGAATTTTGCCTATTTTTGAGGAGGGAATTGAGGTATTTTTGAAGGCTTAAAAATACATACTTTAAAACTGTGATAAAATATATACATGCAATTAAGCTGTTTTTTTCTAGTATATAGGTAATGACATTAGGTACAACACATTATTAAATAACTATCCATACTATGCATTACAAGAATTATTGTAAAAGCAAAACTCTGATAAACTGTAATGACTTATTCCCTCATGCTGTCATGGCAACCAACATTCTAGTTTCTGCTAAGAATTTGACACTGTAGGTGCTTTATGAGTAGAATCTATTCAGAATCTATTCGCTTGTCCAGAGATTCTTGAGTGGTGCCACCTTCTGGCTGCTGAGAGTAGCGCTGCTGTACACGTGAGGATACAGATACTTCCTGAAGGCTCTGCACTCTGCACAAAGTAGAGTGACTGGAAGAATTGTATTTTTTATTTTTTAATGAACTGCTTTACTGTTCATAGTGTTTAGACCATTTTACATTCCTAACAATAATGTGAAGGTTCTGATTTCTCCACAGCTTTACCAAAGCTTGTTATTTTCTGTTTTTTTTTTTTCCTCCAGTAGTACTGATTCTAATTAGTATGAGGTGATCCTTGTGGGTTTAAAAACCATTTTTTTTTATTGAGTAGTGATGCTGAATGCTGTAGATGCCATTGATACTTTTATATCCTTTGTAAGTGCCTGTTAAAATCTTTCCTTTTTTTTTTTTTTTTTTTTAGGCGGTGGCTCAGGCTTGCTTTGTAGTTGGTATGTAGCTCATGCTGGCCTCTGACTTGTCATTCTCTTACCACAGGCTCCCAAGTGCTGGGATTTAAGGCATGAAGTACCATGCCCAACTTTTTACTCACTTTGAATCCCCCTTATTTTATTATAAGAAATAATCATATTCTGCTTTTGACTCCTTTGTCGGATGTATATATATGTGTGTGTGTGTGTGTGTGTGTGTGTGTATTTATGGATTTGGTGATACACACGCACAATCCTATCACTTAGGAGCTGGGGGTAAGAAGATTGTTAGAGGACAGCCTGGGCCACTAGTGAGACCTGCTTCAGAAAAAACAAACAAACAAGAACCCTTCTTTCTCCAAATCTGGTTTGTCTTTTTGCTTTTTTTTTTTTTTGAGATGCCTTTTTATTCTTAACATGTCTTTTGGTATTTTTAAGAAAGTGTCCTCACTTTTTCCATTTGTGACTGCTGCCTTTTGTTCAAGCTAGGAAATCTTTCCCTGCTTCAGAGGTTTTTTTTTTTTATTTTTAAATTTTATTTTTGAAACAGGGACTAACAGTCCTGCTTGGGCTGCTTCTAACTTGAGCAGATCCTTCTGCCCTAGCTTCCTGAATGCTAGCTTTACGGCCCTGCACTACCCTGATGGCCTTCTACTGCTTTTAAGGCAGCTCATTAGTCCAGCCACCTGTGGTAGGAGGAGCTGGTTGCCGGCTGCCTGGGTCAGCTGGCAGACCATCAGGAAGAAATCTCTGTTTAATGTTGAGGTCGCTCTACATAGATGGCATTGAGGAGAGAGCGTTCTTTGATGAAGAGTTGACAACCTTGTAAAGAGCCAAGCTTGTCCCAGCACAGTGTGTTCCCATTATCAGCCCCTGCCACACAGGCTGCACCCCCTACGCCTGTGTTTTTTACTGGTATAACCGGGATCTGCTTTTGGAAAGGCTCTTTTTTTTTTTTTTTTTAATTGCCGAGAGTACATGAAGATAATATATTTGGTAGCTGTCATCTTAAGCTAGCTACAAAATTGTTTAGACCTTTATCTAAAATACTTGAGTCCATAATTGCTTTAGGGGCTTGAGACTATTTGTCTACCTAATGAGATCTGAGCTTAAGCATGACTCATATTTATGTAACTTATTCATACTGCTTAATGGTAACCCTATCTCTCTCTCTTTCTCTCTCTCTCTCTCTCTATCTCTATCTATCTCTATCTATCTATATCTCACTGTGACTATGTCATGAGAGGTCAGGCATGACGGTTTTCAGATTTTGCA